AATGTTTATTATGCAAACTAGTGCAACTCTGCCAGCAGCCAGCAAATACATACTTAATGTAGTGCCCAGCACACAGGGAGAACGCAAAAGGTTTTGGTTATTATCACCTCAACAGATGAACTCACTTCCTATCGCGCTGAGAAGAATCATTCATTTAGCAAGTATGTATCAAGTGTCGATTGAGTTTCGGGCATTTTGCCGCAATGCTAAAATAGAGAAAACCTGTGACGTTGTCCAGTATTAATACATCAAATCTCTAGAGTGCTGGCGATGGGCCAGGCATGCAGCTTTATGTATGGAAGAGTCAGCAGGGAACAGGACAGACATCTGGTTGACCTCTTAAAAGAATAGATTGAAATCTAGTGGTGAAACCAGATGCTGAACAAGTGTGGGGTAAAAGTGATGAATGTTTTGAAGGAAAAGTATAGGGCTCTTTGGAAACAAAATATATTATAGAAGGCCACTGAGGCCTCCCTGAGAAATAGATTATCAGAAAATAGTTTTTTCCATTAAGTTTCACTTTTTTTGTTATATCCATTTTTTCTTGTTTCTCTTCTGTCATAGAAAAAAAACAACAACACTCTTATTTCTTTTCTTTACCAGCCTTCCTGTCTGTGTTCTGGCCATATTTTGTTTTTTTTTTTACTCTGGAACTATAGCCAATCAACTATCCTCCAGTCTTTAAAGAAATCTCTGTCTACTGCCCCCTTCCCTCAGCCTAAGGATTCCTCTCATCCTGACCAACAGTTCCCTCTGTCCCCTGCAGTCCAGCAGATTTCTTTACACCAACTCACTCCTCAGCCCCTAAGTTCTCCATCATTCCACTTAATTAAAATTGTTTTTGGTTTTCGTTTGGTTTTTCAAAAACTATCCATGGACTTCTACTTACCAAATAAAGCAAAAACCCCACACCCATCCCTCTCTGGTTTACCACCCACTGTTTCTGAAGTTCTCTCCACCCTGGGGCTCATTCACTACTCTTTCACCTTCTGGTTCCCCCAGACCTTTCTGATTCTTCTTTCCCCAGTTCCCCTCTCCTTCTCCGAGGGACAGAGCTCTCTCTTCAGCCTCTCCTTGTCAGTCCCCTCTCCCAAGTCATTCCTTATTTTTTTTTACAGTGTAAAATTTTTATATTTAGAATCAGGCAGCTGGCCTCAGTTTAGATGATTCCAATTTTGTTGGCAACATCCAAAGCATCGTCGTCAGGAGCCAGTCGAACATATGCCTTCTTCCCGCCATCAGGCCTGATGAGGGTGCTGCCCTTGGCCACGTCAATGTCATAGGGCTTCTTCACAGCCTGCTGGATCTGGTGCTTGTTGGCCTGGACATCCACAATGAACACCAGTGTATTATTATCTTCCATCTTCTTCATGGCTGACCCGGTAGTCAGGGGGAATGTGATGATGGCGTAGTGGGCAAACTTGCTTCTCCTGGGTGCTCT